GTACAGACAAGACCGAAGCAGTTCAAGGAAGAAGCGAAGTGGTGGTGTCGCTACTTTTATTAATTCTCAGTGGTCTGTCGCCACCAACGTCTGCTTTGAATTTTCAAATGATAATATTGACTGTATAACTGTGAAATATCGACCTAAACACCTGTCTAAATACTTCCTTTTTATCACTAACATTTATATCACACCATCCCAGCTAGCACTTTCTTCGGGCGCACTGCCGAACGTGGGACAAGGCCCCTAAGCCTGCCCGACCATTCTCCAATGCACCTGAAGTCATTGCCTTTTGGGATGTTGTTCTGGGTAGTGAAAATGTCGTTAACTTTCCTACCCGACTGGATGCTTCGCTTGATCTTGTACAATTAAATCACTCCGGAATATACGAAGGTAGTAAAAGAGCCCCACTGTCTAACTCCGATCACTGTACTGTACGGGTTTTACTCAAAATTTATGGAAAGTTACACAAGAGAACCTTTTCACACCTATCCAAGAAAATTGTATATAGATGTGACTCTAAGGAGAATATTCAGAATCTTAGGAGCATACTCAAAGACACAAAGTGGGACTTGTTTAATGAACACTCTTCTGATGACACTATCTGTAATATTACATGTTATCTCAAATTTTGCCTTGACACCTGTTGTCCAAAAGAAACACCCTTCATCTAATTTGACCGTTTCTCCTCCCCCCAACCTAGAAAGCTTTGCAGGCAAAAAGAAAAGTTATATAAAATGAAGGATAAGATTGGTTTGAAAAGAATTAACATCCTAATCAAATCTGAAATGCACAGGTTGAATTCAATTTATAATCAGAATTTTATATCCTGTAAAAATGCCTCTAATATATGGAAACTTTTTAAAGAAATTACTGGTGGTAAGCAGATAAACAGTGTTCGTTATTCATTTGATGTGTGTACACTAAACAGGTCTCTTACACATTCTCCCACAAATGCAAAGCTTTCTAGTGTCACAAGTGTTAATGAAAGCTGCTTTCCTGGTTTCAACACAAATGACGTTCCAAAATGCTTCCAGTCTCTGAACCCTACTTGTAGCCTAGGTCCAGATGGTCGCCTAGCGTTATTCTTGAAAAATGTGCAGATACTCTATGTTATCCTCCCACTGGCAATATTTAATGAATCTTTTTCCAGAAATGCCGTGTCAGTCGTTTGGAAAGACATCGAAATTGCACCTATACCAAAATCATCTGCAAGATAATGTCTTAAATTTAGACCTGTTCCTATAACCTCTCCTTTTTTGGAAACCGTGGAAAATTCGTTCTTAATTAATCTTCAACCTTCACTCAAAACCTTTAACGATCCCAAACAACTCGCCTACAAACATAGTGGAAGTACTTTAGATGCAGCTGCAGTCTTGCATCATGATATTGTCTCCAGTTTAGACAAATGGGCTAAATTTGTTCCCTGCACCTTCCCAGATTACACATCTTCTTTTGATTCAATACCTAGGGATATTTTGTTAAATAAGCTTGCTGATACTCAAACTGGGTGTTGGGTTGTCAAATGGCTGCATTCTTATTTCTCAGGAAGAATGCAGCACATTGTATGTAAGGGGAATTCGTCTAATTTACTGCTTACTGAGGTTGGCATCCCTCAAGACGCTGCCTTTTCTCCTACTCTGTTTTCTTTGTTCTTGCATGACTTGCCTCACTCTGATGAAGTGAACTTTGTTAAGTATGCTGACGATCTAACAATTTCATTTCCTGTTAACTCCCAGCTAGACTGTACTAAGATGAACAGCCTGCTATCAGGAATCAGCAAGTGGTCTTCGTCTAATGACCTCAAACTAAATCCTTCCAAATGTTAATTTCGGTCCCCGATTTGAAAGAAAGTTGAATGAAGCTGTCAATTCCCTTGACCGTTGTATAATTGATGATAGTGATATAGAAATCAAGTCTGGCGTTAAGTATCTTCGATTAATTCTTCTTATGATCTATCCTGATCTTCACATGTCTTAGCGATTTCTGAAAGAACATTTCGTCTAACTTTTTACACTAAGAAGTTAAGGCATTCCGGCATACCTCAACCCCCTCTCATCTGACAACTTGTCAACTAGTGCATCTTACCTATTCTTCTTTATTGTTCACCCTTATTCTTTCCTGGATTGTTTATATGAGAATATGTCATACTTCGTAGAACTCTGAAGACTGTCGGTTGGGCGAGTGGTATCCCATCTGGCTTCGTCATTGACATCGTCATTGATAGGCACTTGATTTCATGCGAGAAATTCGCTAAGGGAATTTTATCAGACTGTGAGCATCTACGTCACCAGCAGCTTTCACCTTGTTTCCCCTCAGGTAAAACAAGAAGTCATTTCAAAAGAAAATGCATGCACGTCTGGGTGTAGAAATTCCACAATGCCATATTTGGCACGCATTTGATTTGATGAGAATAGTGTCAGGCAGGAACTAACTAATCTTATTGTCACCAGGAAATGGACAATTTCCTCTACACTTATAACTTCAAGCGTTACTGTTATTATTCTTCTTATATTCATAATCCCCTCAATTTTTCGTTTATTTTCTAAAAAGTGTGAACATAATTAAAGCTGTTTATTAACTGTTATTTTTGTCTTTCGCTTCACCATTCTATATCAGTAGAACAATAGGTTCAATAATCTATAACATGCTAAAATTTCCAAACTGAATCCCCAACATTGGTTGAAACAAACTCACTGTTATTATTATCACTTCGTACTTCGAATATTTTTGGCTTTAAACCGTGAATGTGGAGAAATTCCTGTGGTTAATTTCATGTATATTTTGAGGAAATTAGAGGCAGTATTGTGACAAATTCTGAGAATTCTATTCTGTATTATAAGTACTGTTTTTGGAATGAAGTAGATTATTACAGTTATCATATACCCCTCTAGTGGGGCTCAGATTCATTGAAACAGCTTCCCGCTATTGCGAGATGCAACTGCTGACTACATCTCACATGCAGGTTCTAACCTCCGGACATCACGGTTATTAGATGAGGACTTTGCAGTCTTATGTTTAAGACGGAATGATGTACTTGTTACCCACGAGAATAGACCAACCGGAATCAAGAAATTGTATTCCTCGGCGTTCATATATACATTTAGAGTTTTATCCTGCAGACTTTTCAGTCATTTTTCGCGGCCTTATTCTCTTAATCGTGCACCAATAGAAAAATTGTGTAAAGATCTACTCTCGGCACTCTTAGTTGCAGCTCAGAATGATTATCTAAACACAGAGTGACTTAACTCCACTACCGTATAGTTGCCAATGTGTGCATTGGTGTCACTGTGGTAAGGACTCTCGCGACCATGCATATGGTCCCGGGTGCAATCCCCCTGATATCAATGGTTGACCTGCAAAATTTGGGCTACCGACATCGTATGCTTAAAATTCCATACATGTGCCAAGAATACGGTGTGGAATCAAACTGTATTAAAAAAACAACTTGAAAGTGGACTTCGGGTCAGTTGGCGAACTACAATTCGTAGTTAACATCCATTTTGGGACATAGGAAAAATATGGGATAACACTTCACCCATAGCCTGTCTTTGTAATCCTCTAGGCTATAAACAGTTCGATTTCTGTACTCTTCTCATCAAAAGGCCATCCAAAACCTCGCACATTTCGAGTAATGCCCTTTCTAGCATTTTAAGATCCAGTGAAGAATAAGGACTAATACCTGTGTTACCGATCGCCTAATACATTCATATTGAATCAGATAGTAAGAGAAGAGATTTTGATGTGCCACATAGTTCGAGTGTTTCGTTAAAAAGGTAATTTTGCATCGCATTTTGCGAAGTGTGTCGATTAATAAAGATTTTAGCCCCTCTCACGCATCCGAATGTCAGAATTAAAGATATAGTCATAGCACTCAGTAAGGGGAAAATAACTTGTAACACACTAACGACATAACCGGAAGGTGAACTACGAGGCCTAGATTTCCCTTCGGAGCTATGGAGCTTAGTGTCTTAGCCGGTTCTAAAAGCAGACCCTATGCAATAGTTAATAAATGTTCTTCAACAGTAGAATCAGTTCGTGAAATGTGAATATGATGTCCAATCCCATTATACAGAGGATGATATTATATTACAAACCTGTGGACACTGTTTACAAACCGCATGAATGAAGGAGCTGGGGCATTATCACGGATTTATGGATAACCACTGATACTCGTTTTGTCAATAAATCATATTTAAAAATGTGGTCGTTGAGATGTTAACACGTTCATTAGGCTTAAAGAGTATTCTCTGAAAAGTATAAACATATTGGCTCACACTGAAGGGGAATACAGTCCTTTCTACCCACATAAGATAAGCAGGGCAAATTTAACATACTTGGTGGAAGCTTTGGGCGCAACTCAGTAATATGTTAACTTCGGATAGAAAATCTTGTTATTTCAACTAAAACCTCAAACAGCCTGTCTTACTGAAAGTAAACAAGTGCACACAAAACGCATTATAAATAACGTTTTGACATCTACAATTTACCCGCGATTACTGTGGAATCATAGGAGTGTTGATAACACCTCACAGGATAGTGTGCAATCTAAGACATCTGTTGGAGGTAGCTAGATATAGGAAGCAACCCCTAAATGTCAAATTCTTTCTCCTTAAGTGAGATTTCCACGGAGTTAACTACCCTTTTTATTTGACCACCGCTCAATCGAATGAAGAAATAAAGACAGCTACTTGTCAGAGCAACCTCATAGATTTTTTTCGTCTTCAGCCTGCTTAGTTCCTGATAACGCTTACAGCCTGCCTTTGACCCGTCTTTCGACATAACAACTGCCAATCTTAGAAGCATTCTTATCAGGAAGCAATTTCAACAAAACAAGTCAACATAATTTTACTGGAAGCACTCAACACAGCTACTGCAGGAAATAGGGTAAAGCTACTTTTTACAAAATTTGGTGAAGGCATGGAATCATTCCTAATCATCAAGAGGAGAGTTCCAGTAGATCAATAGGGTTGTGCAAACTTGCCACAAACACATTGAGCGCGGTAATTTCTAAGCAGTGCGACTTTTCAAGGTCATTTCAGACAGTAATTGTTTCAGTCCTAAAGTTTAATGTGGTTGTGCACACGTTGCAGTTCATGTTTTTAGCCTAAAAACACTGCCGTTAGTGGCTACTTTTAATTTAGGAGTTTAAAGCAAAGATGTATCCACTTGAGCGATATGAATTACAATGTTAATAAACAATTTAAGCTACATATTGCTTTTATAGCACATTTATCCATTTGCATTAAAATGCCTTAAGTCTAATACTTTCAAGCATCTCTAAATCCTCCGTGAGAAGTTTTTTACTTCTCTAAGTTCCTATTATTCATCCCTTTTACATTGCAACGCCCTATTAAACATTAATATAGCTTCAGGGAAGGTGCCGATAATTCAGTGCACACCCTACAAATGTCCACGTTAATCTGTCACAAAGTTAGCCGTAAATTGCTCCATGATTTTTTAACTTGGGTTACCATTCTTACTGTTTATTTATATTTGTGGTCATACTAAAAAATTAATAATGTATGGATTTACTTGAACTTGTTACCGCTCCTTTCCTTCGATTTCGCTTATCGAGTAGGTCAGAAGACAAAACGCAAGCCACAGGTGTAATAACTTTTATTAGTGAGGTATGATTTCTGTTAAGTTGGAGCGTAAACATTTCTGCGACTTAGCTGTACAAATAGTAAAGCGCATGGATAAGAAGGTACAGTGAAGAACTGAACACTGCATTGATTGGATCGCAATAAAAATTAGCGACCTGTTTGTTTAAATTTATATTGATAGATCACTGGAAGACTATTCCTTACGACTACTGTTATTATCGGTTAACATTTTGATGAAAATGGGTGGTCGGCAGTTTTTTTCTTGATAATTCCTCTACTGTTCGTTGATTCTGGTTTGTCGCAAAAGAAGTATTCTTTATAGTGAAACAAGCATATTGTAGTGAGATCAGATACTTATACAAATTTTTCTATTTTTAATTTCAATAATTAGTGCTTTGTTTAAGTCGGTGGTGTTTCGTAAACCTCTCAGCTTTATGCCATTAGCTTTTAAGATTTCGTATAAAACAAGGTGTACGGGAGTGAGAACAGGTTAAAAGTCGTCATCTAGGATAGCTTTTGGGCTTTTAATAAACATCTTAGGCCTTTAGTCATTTGTTTTCGTCAGCTTCTCGTGTTCTTAATCTAGGCCAGCAGTCTGTGTATAATAATGATTTATTTCAGTTAACCTAACGTTCTGACCAATAAGTTATTTAGTTGAATTTCCTGCCATACATCAGGAAATCCTCCAGGTTTGAATAATAAAAATACCAGACTGGGAGGAGTCTTAAAAGCTATTCACTCAAAAGCCTACTTGTACTCGTCTGGCTAACTAGCTGCAGTCCAGAAGCAAACTTTAGTTGCAGATTAGTATGTACTTGGCCCACTAAAGTTCGTTGTCATTTTTTATAAGATGTTGTAAGTAAGCTGCTTGTGTCGATCATGATTGTTAAACGAAGGTAAAAGTACTTTTAACAATTTTAATAGCTGCTAAATATCCTCTTTAAAATTGATATTTTGAACATTCTTTGGTTAGCTGAAATCACAGCAACATCTGTTTAGTTGTTCTCAGTTTCTATGTTAGCAGTCGAACTTTATGAGTTATGCCTCAAATTGATTATATTTTCAAATTACAAGTGAAAAAATCTACTGGCATTGAGTTCACTACAAAATTTGATAGTAATAATATCGACTGGAACAGCTAACTTCCAGTTGTAATTTAGTTTAGCTTTTGGACTGATAATTTCTACTCCAATATTTCAGTCAGTTTTAGTTGAGGTGCTTTTTATTGGTTGATAATAAATGTGTTGATGGATCAGTAGTAAAGTGCTTTCCAGCCACGCAGGCAGGCGGGGTCCGATTCCTGGTTGACACATTCCCAAACCTAACCTGGATGGTAGAAAGCCTAGAAGAGAGAGTAGGTTATGCATGAGGCTACCAACCTCTTCCCTTAAAAGCAACGCCACTACTGAAACTTTTAAGCCTAAAACCCTATGTTCCAATTAAAGCATAAGGAATGAGAAAAATTAATAAAAGATCGTTTTTTTTTGCCTTCACAGCGGTCGTATATCTTTGTGGACAGAAATTACTGGAAATCAGTATACAACAAATAGATTGTCACTCATCGTCAATTACGTCGCCTCAGCAATAGTTTTGGTTTCCCTGTTTGACAACAAATTAACGACCATACTCATTTCAAATTGTTAATTTCTCTCTCTTTAGCCAAATTGGGGTTCTGTCTGTCTGTCTGCTTTCAACATAGAACTTTGCACCGATGTGCAGCAGTTCAAGTCGCCACACTTCACTCAGCACACAAAGCAAAAGAAGAAATGTAAAATAGAGACAGTAAACAGGGATATGAGACAAAGGAATAGAAATAACGAAGACAATATAGTTTCATTGGGTATTATAAGTCACAAGGAGTGGATGCATCTGCACCAGCTATTGACAACGATTTTGAGCCATATCACCGATTGTCTCTAGCCATTGGTGTTTACCGTCCAGAGGACCCCAACCAGTCAGGAAGTCTACACCTTCCTGCGTGACTTATTCTAACTTTTGTGGAATTCATTGAATGATGAAGCCTTGTTTTTGTTTGACCACTGCCAGCTCTTTTCCAACCTGACCTTACATCAGGTAACATTGTCCGTCGAGGAAGGCGATGGCTAGGCATACGTAAGACATGTTCCAACCATCTCAATCGGTGTAACTTCACAGCCTCGTCGATTGATTTCCCCTCCTTACCTAGCACTCGACCATGCGTAACCTCAATATTGCTCACCATATTATACCACTTCACACGGGAAATAGAACGCAGACACCTATGATCAAAGACAGCTAACAGGCCTTTTCATGTCTTCCACTCTCAATGGCCATGTCTCGCTCACAGCCCTAAAGGAGGACGGGGCGGACTGCTGAGCAGTACATACACCCTTTGGTTGACAGCCAGCCGGATATCCTGTCTACCTCAGAGACGGCGTAAACTGGCATATGCAAAACTAGCCCTCTGTATCCGTGCTGAGGTTTCGTCAGCGATCAACCCGCTGGCGTTGACTGATGCAACTTCCCAAATAAGTGAAGCGGTCAACGTGCTCTATCACTTCACTCCCTATTTCTAAGCTAGGAGTCAGTGTAGTCCAGTCCTGTAACATCATCTTACATATGACGGGAGTGAATCACATGCCAAACATTCGTAGATTGCAGCTCAAGGTGTTAAATTGAGGTTTGTTGTATATGAATGTAGCTGGAAAAGCAAGTTAAGGTAGGCGATTCGGTTTACATATTATTAACGTGAATAGAGACTTCATTTCATTTAAAACCGCCCTCATTAACGACCTGGTATGGTTGAGGGCAGGTAGACTTCCTCTCGAAATATTCTCATTTGGCCACGCGCTCATAGCCTCTGCCAGGTAAGACTTGTTCAGTGCCTTCATGCGGAGGGTGTTTCTCACAAAAGTGGAAAAGCGAATTCGAATCTCTAACGCTTATGACTAGACTGGTAGAGAAGCAGGCCTACCTAGGAGAACTGAGCTCCAGAATCCGAAAGGATCAAATGTCGTATGAACCTGTTTACGACACCGGAAACCATGGGAACGCTGTTCCACTACTTTGTGGATGAGACTTCAAGTCAAACACTTGGGGGGGGGTGATCCCTTAAGACAACCACCTGCTTCACTCTGGGCATCCTGGTAGTATCCCAGCCCTTGCACAAGCTATGGGATTGTGGCGCATCTCTTGGTGCACATTATATTGCTAAGTTCGTGTTTTAATAAGAGTAAATCATTCAAACCCACGTATATGTAGTAAGAGGAAACTGTAACTCGTTAGATGAAGTCAAACAAAAACCTGTGGACTAAAAATTTACACAACTTTTCCCTTTGATTACCTTGAAACTGCTCATAACAGTCTAACTGATTTATAGATGCGAAGCCTATCTTGCTTTTTGTGCATATTCATTATGTTGTGTTATTTTTTTTACTTCCAGATCATTCCAGTGGTTGTTTTTCAACATCAGGTGGTCCATATGATGCTTTCCTTCATCTCTTTACAATGATGTTTGAGCGAAATCCTATGTTGTCCAGCTCTGAAGTGACTGCTGACTACTCACCTGAATTAGATTTGGATGCTTACTCCAGATTTACAGATGGTATGGTCAAGAATGATGTCGCAAACAGACCATTCAGTCCATCCAAACAGGTAATGAACCGGTAAAAAGTTTTGATTCCCATATAGGTTAGGTTTCGCCCAAATATCACTGTCAACTCCGTTGATCTACTAGCTGGAAAATCTTCAATGTATGATTTTTCTGAAGATGGTGTCGATGAGTTGACACACATAACATCAATGTCTTTCGGTAATCCGAGTTCACCAAAGCACTTTCAATCTACAGAAGCATCTCCATATGATACATCTCTGTGGTTGGAAGGTAATTTTGACAAAATGTGTAACCTTTCTGTGGACACTGAATGGAGTCCTCAAAATACCTGCCAGAATTCTTCATCCCTCAGAACCACCGATCATATTCCACAGCCACCATTATCATCGTCTTACAGCACTGTAACTGGTTCTAGGAACTATTCTTCAGACGTCAAAAGTTGGGATGACCAAGTACCTAGGAAACTGCCTAACTATCTTCTCAGTCGTTCTGATGATCTTTCTTTGTCAACTCTTACCGAAGTAGACTCTTTCGATTTAGACGCTACATACTCTCCTCATAGTCAGTCTGTTGATCCTGGTGTAAATCTGTCACAACCAATGTACAAAACAGCAGAAACCTTGAAGAAAGAAATCAAAAACCTGTCTTTAAAGATCAACAGTGCTTCAGAAACGGTGAGTCTTTCCTAGTTTAGCAACATAAGGATGATAATAACTAATGGCCAATAAATTTTTAATGTATTACGTCTATGTGATATTGTTCGGCTACTCAAGTGTTAATTTACTTTATAAAAAATTGAGGAATATCAATGGTTACGCAAGGTACTCTGTATACAAACGCGTGTTTATCCTCTAACTCCCAAAGTACTTGTTCTTCTGGGACCAGAAACAAATCGAAACAATAAATGGATTGTCCAAGATAGGAGATATATTTCGGGATCAGAAATGCAAAGCGATGATAATTGCTTGACTAGTTAGGGTTCGTGTACGAACGACCGAACGTAACATGATAGCGTTCTAAATGGGGCAAAGTTCAACAACAGCGTCCCAAGGGGTGCGAACGCGTGACTGATCTTGAGCCAACCAATCACAAAAATTGGGAATTTTTGCACAAAAAATGACATACATTTACGAGAAAATGGATGAAAACAGATTACACAGGTTATCTTTCTCTGACATAACTTAAAAATATGTCCAAGTTATAATGAGGAGTATCAGTCGCTAAGTTAGACGAGTTTCTCTACATGTATTCACTGTGGTGACTGAAGATGAGCTGTTTTTTGAATCGTTTATCTCTTTTATCCTCATGTGCAGTCTTCCCCAAGAGCCCTCGGTTGAGTTACTATGGTTTGCAGTAAGAGGATTGACGACTGCTTACTGGGAAAGTGTGGATAATAAAACAAATTGAAATAAATAATACCAACTCTAAACCGTAATCGTGACCCTAACCCTAACCTTAATCATAACCCTTATCCAAACCGTAATTCTAATCCCAATGCTAATTATAATCCTGATCCTAACCCTAACCCAATACTTACCTTAGCCGTGATCGTAACCCTAACGAGCTATTAACACATCGTACAAACAGTACTTAAAAACGTGATCTGAGTGAAATTTGCATCTTAGTTGATGAATAGCGTTGATATTTTAGTTATGACGATGACAGGTGCCGTTAGCGAATGACTAGCATGCGTTCAAGGTCATTGAAGTGTTCGCACTCCTGTGATGCTGTTGTTGAACTTCGCCCCAAATGGCTTAGATACTTAACCGCAAGCCTTCAGCTTACACAAGTCGACTTGAACAGTGAAGGTCAGCATCCAGTGTTGAATAAAGATTGGATGTAGACTAATAATAATTTCGTAAGAATTATTTACCGCTACAACTTTAATTCTATGGATACCTTGGGATTATCCAAATCTGTTCAGTTCCACTTCATTTATAATCACTTTATATGTGACTATTTAAGATAAAGACAACTGAGTGTTAAAAGACTTAGAATGTTATTATCAAGGTAGATTCGGAGTACACTTCTGAATGGCTACCCTGACTAAATATTGTGAACCTATAGATTGCCTCTCCTCTTCCAATTTCTTAAGTCACTCTTAAAGTTAAGTTAGGAAATATTATAACGATATTATGGTTCCCTTAGATTCCTGCTGTAACATAGAGCTTCGAGAGTCCCTCCACTTCATCCTGTTGTCTTCAGTCTTTTTTAGCTGACATCACGATTGCCCATAAGCTTACTTCTTGTCTTCACACGATCTCCTTCACATCACCTTTGGACTCCCAACTTGTTGCTTCCCACTCGATGGTCTGGCGTGTGGTATCACTCAGCGGCCTCCTCAGCATGTATCCTGTCCATCTCCATTTTCTTCTGCATATTTGTTTAGCAATAGGTTTTTGGTGGACTCGTTCCCAGAGTTGCTTGTTACTAGTCCTTTCTGTGCATCTTATGTCCAGCATGGAGCAAAGTAGGCATCTGTTGTTAAAAGTCTGCAACAGTCTATTGGAAATGCTTCTCTCGTGACACGTCAAGTCCCTGAAGCATAGTGCACTACAATCTGATGTCGGGATATCTAGAAACTAATAAATATTATTAAAGAATCACAGCTACTTGTGTTACTATTAAGATGTTCTGCAACGCCACTCCAAAAGATATTTATATTTTATTTAAAATAATACGATAATGTGTTTTATATTAAACTTAAATTGAGAAATATTCATTAGTTAACTTGTATACCAATCTTAATATTCATAATTTCATATATTCTCTTTTACTGTTGATAATGAATAGCCTACTGATAAGATACGTTTAGAAGCTGAACGTATTGTAAATGAAGCCTGTAGCACTTTACCGTGTGGAAATGATCTAATCAATCCATTGATTTTAAATCCAGGACTCACTGTAAATATACCAGAGCATGAAACACAGTTTACAAATCTTATCGATTTATCTGTTGATGAATCAGAAATAGTTCGTCTTGAACGTCAACGAATTGCAGCTCAACGTAAAAAGTTGGAGGCGTGTAGAAAACAAAATGCTAAAGACAAAGTTGTAAGTTGGTTTTCTACACTATTATTATTATTTGTTTTGTGATATCATAGACCACTTGGGCCACGACAGCCGCCTCTTGTGCAACAGGTCACCATCCACCAGTTAAATTCCAATTACATGTCCGGACATCGTCGAAGCATCTGCACAAGAGGCCGACATGTCAACCTGAGACCGAGCACTTCGGTACAATCAATCGACGGGAAAATCTAAAATTCAATTAAATAATTAGTATGACCCGTGGATAACGCTTTGGCGTTTGAAACTATGGGCACTGAGTTTGAGCCTCGGTGGGAACATCACTCACTACGGAATGCAGGTGCATCCAGATGACGAGTCCCAAATAGGACGAAATGCGCGTTATCCTGGATTCCACTGCTAGTCACCATCCACCAATTAAATTGTGCTAGTAGGCAGAAAACTTAAGTCTAAAATAGCTACTACACCCACAGACTGACTCTTAGTATCCGATTTTATGTGCGCTACATTGAGCTGTGGCATTTCTGTGCAAAGTTCTACGTTGTTTTGTCAACCAACCATCTAACTAGAAGTATACTTCAAAGGACCAATATAACTTTCTTTAGTTGGGTTGGTACAGCCGCCTAGAAAACGAGAAAAAGTGTGATGTACAATGGAAAGAAAAGTGCCGTGTAAAAGTGTAGGAAATAAGTTTACCTCCAGAAGTAATGAATTTTAAGACTTTACATTATATGAATTGATACTACGATTGTAAAGACACCTTACATAGGTAACAATCTAAGCCAAAACCCTTTGAATAAAAGTGACCTGTCAGACTGCTGGCCTGCAGTTTTTCTTAGTAATAGGTGTTAGGAACTTTGGTCCTTCAGTTCAGTCTCCCAATGAAGTTGTACCTCATCATTCCTGTTATTATTATTATTGGGTTTTTATATTAAAAACACAAACTTGGTACATCATGCGCACCAAATGATGCGCCGCGCAAATTTCGCATAGTTTGTTTGAGGGCTTCGATACTACGTGGATGCCCAAACCGAAGCAGGTGGTTGTCTTAAGAAGCCAATCTCGAGCCTTGAAGTCAGATTCACAAGGCAGTGGAGCAGCGTTCCCATGGCTGATGGTGACCCAAACAGACTCATACGCCATTCGATTCTTTTGGATTCCGAAGGCCATTGTACACCGTTGGTTTGGAATCAGGGTTTTCCTACCACTTGGGTTGTCAACGCCAGATGTTCGAATTCGCCCTTTCACTTTTGTGAGGACTACCTCCGCCGTAACGTAAAGGCAGTGTGAATCAGACTTACCTGGTGAAGGCTATGAAGGTGTAGCTACATGAGAGCATTTCGAAAGGAAGACAGAAGTCGTACCTGGTCGTTTATGGGTACTATTTAACTTTTAGCATAGTAAGTCAAGTGTTTCAGCCTAACCAAATTTCGGGTGGTATTTTTTAGCTATTGTGCGTCGGTGGCACAGAGGTTAGGACGCTCGCCGACCACGCCTCATGTGGTCCGGGGTTCGATCCCCGGCCACCGACGCACTTCTTTACCTCGCTAAGCCAGTAATAAAAAAAGCTGGTAAAGAGAGAAGGTTGGACATGAGGCTAGCAACCCCATCCTGTAAGAATAAACACTGCTACAGAAACTTCAAGCCTCTAGCTTGAAGCCCTATGTTCCATTATAAAATGGACTCAGCTTATCATTTAATTCACGAACCATTGCATTAATGCATATCAACAGATATACTCTTTGAAAGTGAAGCATACTGATTAAAACTATGCAAGAATGTGTGTTTATAGTACAACTTCAAATTGAATATTGGCTATTTTTTTGATGAAGTTCCCTGTCTGTCTGTCTGCCTGTATTCGACATAGAACTTTGCACCGATGTGCAGCAGTTCAAGTCGCCACACTCCATGTAGCACACAAACGAAGAGAAGAAAGTAGGAGGAATGCATATTAGAGACAGTAAAAAGAGATGTGAGACAAAGGAATAGTAGTAACGAAGAACAATATAGTTCCATTGGGTATTATAAGTCACAAGGAGTGGATGCATCTGCGCCAACCATTGACAGCGATCACTTTGAGCCATATCACCTACTGTCTCCAGTCATTGGTTTTTACCGTCCCGAGGAAGTCTACACCTTCCTACGTGGCTGGCTTAAACTAACTGTTGTAGATTTCATTGACTGGTGCCATGTTTTCGTTTGACCGCCGCTAGCTCTTTTCCTGCCTGACCGTATGTCAGCTAAAATTCCCCGTTGAGGAAGACGATGACTAAGCATACATAACACATGTCCTAACCATCTCAGTCGATGTAGCTTCACAGCATTGTCGATTGATTTCCCTTCCTTACCTAGCACTCGACTCACGCCTAACCTCAGTATGAAGTTCCCTAGAAGAATGTCTTCTTGAACAGTTGTTTATACATCAGCTATACATGAGCCTACGGCTTATTAGTTCTACTACTCAATTTCCAACAAATAGGTTTGAGTCACTCTTCACTTACTCGAGATTTAGGCAACCCGACGATTGCATGTGAATACTACATACAAGTGGTTGTTAAGTAACATTTCTTTTGCTCTTGTTTTATCTGCTTCTTCTCCTTTTCTTCTTCTTCTTGTACACTTTCTTATAGAATGAACCTGAACCAGATTTACTCGAATTCTTTGATCCAAATCGTCATGTATATCAATCCGTGAATATCCAGACTAAAAGTCTACCAAATTTACTGCCTACTTTACGTTGTGCTCCTGATGATTCTATCCAATTTCTACATGAAAATATTCTCTGTGATCATTATGCCAGTATGTTGTATGATGTTTAACTATAGGAGGGAATGTTGTTGTTGTTTTTTTAATGTATTTTCATTCTATCCTTGTTTTAGCAGCTACCCCGGCTGAATCCAGTCTTTCTTAGGTAGACTTTTATTGTACATATATATTGGATATCTTCAGTTGTTTGTGTACATAGATTTTACATTTACAATTTAACAGAAATACAACTGAGATTTTCACTTCGAAGTGAACTAACTACACTACCATTTTCGCCTTATGCCTTTTTATTATTATTTATTACTCTTTATAAGTTTGTTTTTGTTTACTTTGAGAATTTTAAAAAAAACATCCCATTATAGTCGTTAATTCACTTTTTATGTTGCACAAAATTTTAAAAAAAATAGGAAATTTTATTTTATTTTACTTTTTTTAAACTGTACTAGAAAATATTGTCAAATAATTTTTGGAATTTTGTACATTTTAAAATGTAATTAGTATTTTAGATGGCTTATTTATTGACTTCGGTTATTCGGTGCAGTCGAGGAGTCCCGGGGTTCGAGTCTTGTTCTACCTATTTCAAGCCTGTGTAGTATCAGTAGCCCTCATGTAAAAAAAGTGTATCTCACAGTCCCAACACTGCGTAATTGTGTTCTAGTTAAATTAACTAAGTGTTATGCTATTGAATGTTGATTAGTTAATAAGTTTCAAGATATTCATGAAAAAACAAAGAATATTCTTTTTGTAAATTCACTTCAAAGCTTTACAGTTACATTGTAACAACAGAAGACAAGGGCCAGGCAACAGATCTTTTATTAAGGAAATCAACAGATATTTATAGATTTTCATGTACATTATTATAGATTATTGTAAGCAAACATACACAGTCTTCTGATTGGTGATTTCTCGCTGAACTTTAATCCTTCATCTCTTTGTGACCGTTTGTTGAAGTTCAGACTATCCATCTGCAAATTGTATCCGCCTACGCAAACAAAGTCTGCCGTGATTGGTTGTTGAGAAGTCAGTCTTTGTTCTTATTTTTCTCATGACCAACATTGGGGACGTAAGCACTGACGCTAATTGCTGTCTACCGATTTTGGCTAGCAGCCAGCTCTCTCACCACAACATAATGTTCTAGAAGGTCGTGGAAAAGGGTCAGTTACTAGCATCATTTGGTAAAAAAAAACATTTGAGAAAATTGGATTACTTCTGGAACTTGACTAAACAGTCTAAAAACACTAAATGATGAACTATTACGAGGATTATTCATAAGAGTAAAAGATTCAGAATATCTATAAAGTATATTTTAAAGTTTAAAATGACTGAAGATTGAGTACTGATAGGATCCAGCATAAAACAGTATATCATCCTTTGTCACGAATCGTACGATGGAGTTACTATGTGGATTTATCATTTCTCACGCATACTGTGATTTAGTATGTGATCCATTCATTATCTTTTGTCTCACCTTGGTCTTTGTCGGATCACCAACCAATCAGAATCGACATTTCCAGCTAATAAGAACAGTCACTTCCCACGGTTGTGAGCCAACTGTATTGTGATAAATTGAATATATAAATATAATGTTTTTTTCTTAATAGATGCATAATACAATGCCTTACAGTCACAGGCCAGCCAGCCTTTGTCTTTTGATATTTGCGTGGCTCAGTGAATCGGAAGGTATAACGGACAAACAGACTTATTAGCGTACCAGTCGAGTTCATTACCGTTATAGTAATTAACAGGCGCAGGCATAACAAAGTAGAGACGGGATTAGTTCAATTCAGTTCAGTTATAACGAGCACATACTAAAATACTGTACAAACCAAGAATGATTTCAGACCATGGTAGTAAAAGGAATTTAGAACAACACATTGAAGCGAACAATATTGTTTTCAATTAGATCTCATCAGGCTTAACTCTAATATATACATAAGTTTACAAATAAAAATTCAAATATAAACCAATCAAGGTGTTTTGTCTATAGGATAACACGATGGTGAACATAAAATGTGCAATTAGTCATAATAGTAGTAATGATAATAACAATAATAATAAAAATGGTCTTATCAATAATAAGGATGAAAAAGTGAGGCAATCTGTGATAACACGAATAATGAAAAACAGCATGATTAAACAAACAACTGTTCAGGTGGAAGTAGTCGTTAAAGGCTGAGAAAAACAAATGAACCGATTAAGTAATGCTAGATTGTAAAGGAAGTAAATACATTATGTTTTAATGAGGATGTGATAAGATTAAAGGATGATAAGAGAGGGGTTGAAAATATAAACAAAGGGTAGTGTAGAAGTCAGTTGGTCATGTCTTAATAGGCCAAGGGAGGGATAATGGCTGTACGAACTTCTTTTGAATACATAGTTTAGGTTTAATAGTTCGAATGCCTGTCTCAGTAGACGAATACAAAGTCTATTGGAAAGATTCGGTGGGATACGATGAATTACTTTGAAGGCTCTCGTTTTCTCGATTACATGACCACTATTAAGTGTGACAAAACTATGGATTGTTTTTGTCTGTCCTTTGCCAAACCACGATGGGAGATGTTCACTAACACGTTGGCTAAGCTGTCTAGTACTATTTATTTTATTTTTTTCATTTTGATTTACAGCTTGATTCCACACCGTATTTTCAGTACAAGTGTGGAATTTTCAGCATGGATATCGGTAGCCCAAATTCAGGCCGACCATAGATATCGGGTGTGCGCCGGCAGGGGATCGAACCCCGGACCATGTGCATGGTCGGCGAGAGTCCTACCCACTGTGCCACCGACGCCCAATATCGTGTTTGTATCGTAAAAGCTTCTGCTCTGGACAGAAAACTTCTGTGGAGCTGATTACATTAGGCGTTGTTTTGTTAGTAAGCTTTCTAGAAACACATACCTTAACATCATCCAGTTGCATTGACAAGAGGTGAATACAGGACAATGAAATCTATTCATAAATATCTTGTGTCAGATTATTTAGGTTTATATGATTCATCATATAAAATTATCTGCAGGGCTAAATCCAGCCACTGTTAAAGCCTAAAAGACTCAAGATTTTTACTACAAGGTAAAGTAAATGAGAGTTGATACAAGACATATACTCTTGGTGCAATTTTCAACAGTCTTGAAATGAATGGCGTCAATAATATTGCGAATATAGTGTTTAAGAGCTTTAGGTTGGTTTTTAGAAATAGGTGTGCTTGTGCTAAGCTTGAATTATTAAATTCTCTTAAACAAATCGATTTAAATGAGCATTTTTTCGAAACATTTACGAGAAATATTCATTAAAAAAATTTTTCATTGAATCTCATTTCTATTCAGCTTGAATTGCTATCACATGCTTCAGACTTCTCCACCTACCTTTCGATTGGATAAATAAGTTCACAGTTTGAAAATTTGATCGATCACACACGCTAACACCAGATAAATGAATCACTTCAAATTATCATCATCAATCTATGAAATAACAATAATGGTGCTTTATGCAGTACAGTACACACCTATGGTAGGGTGTGAGGCACCGCGCGGTATATCGCGGATTGACAAAAGTTATAATTCACAAGTCGTTGGGTTCCAAACTGATGCCTGAATCGCTAACGGGTCGGCGTTGTAACCAGAAGATCATGGGTTTGGTGTGTGGTAGGGTCATTAGGATACACCACTGAGGAGTCCCAAAATGGGACTAAGTATCTGTCCAGTTCTCCATTATTATTATTATTACTGTTCCCTTGGGTTCCTAGTGGAACATAGGGCTTCAACTGCACGTCTCCACTTGCTTCTGTCTTCTGCTGTACTTTTCACCTGCATCCATGTTAGTCCATACTGTTTCAATTCCTCTTCACACGATCTCCTCCATGTCACCCTTCGACGTCCCACTCGCCGCCTCTCTTTCGGGTTCCACTCGAGCGTTGGCCTGACGCGCGATGTCACCCAGTGGCCTCCCCAGCGAGTGTCCAATCTATCTCCACTTTCTCCTGCATATTTGTTGGGCGATTGGTTCTTGTTTTGTTTCTTCCCATAGTTTCTTGTTGGTGATTCTTTCCGGCCGGCCATCTGATCTTGAGTATAGAACGAAGACAGTTGTTGTTGATAAAGGTCTGCAACAGGCTGTTGGAAATATTCTTTGTGACCCGCCAAGTTTCTGATCCGTATAGAAGAACTGACTTGACGTTTGTATTGAAAATCCGAATTTTGTTGTTGATGTTGAGTGACGAAGATTTCCAGATTGGTTTTAGGTTGATGAATGTGTTTCTCGCCTTCTCGATTCTCGATTTGACATCCTCGTCCGTTCCTGCTGTATTTGAGACAATGCTCCCTAGATAAGTGAATGAAGTAACCTCTTTCAAATCCCTCCCGTTGATGGTGATTGGCGCTGGATGTTCAACATGGTTTTCAGTAATTATCTAACTGATAGTGGTTTGTGACGAGATCCACATGGAAATATCAAAAGTTGCTTAGTGTTTAGATAGGTTCGATATGTATTGTAATTATTGTTAATTGTCACATTAATCTCAGATGAAAATATAAGACATACATTTTTCTGTCTGATTTCGTTATTAATACTATTATTCTTCATTTGGATCCTGAGTGGAACGTATTACCTCCGTGGTACACCTTCGATTTACTACGTTCTCTGTCACCACTGTCTACTGACTCCACGACTACTCACAAGCTTTCATTTCCTCTTCTCATGATCTCCTTCATGTCACGCTCGGACCCCCACCCAACTCTTCGCTCCCTAATTGGAGTCCGACTTGACAGCCTGGAGTCTGATTCCATTCAACGGTCTACTCAGCATATGTTCAATCTGTTTCTTTGGTTTCCTTCCGCACGTTTGTTGGGCAACAGGTTTTTGCCTGGTTGATAATAATAACAACAAAGCTTTATTTCAGACAATATGTCAACACGTAGTACAGAAATTTTCAGCCTATTTATTTCCAAAATATTTCCTCTTAATAACATGTAAAGTAATAGTCTGAAGTATATCATGTGACGTGGCTTTGTTGCATATACAGAGAGAACCAATTCTGTACATTTTTTCTTCATTTTCTCCAAGAATTGCACAGCATTTCGTTGGAAGCTAATTAAATTCGCGCACGAGTTCATGTTGTGGTCATTTGATATAATTGCACAATTAAAACAATAAGAAATACCGAATAGTTTAGGCATTCTGGTGGGTGGAAATTCCCATAGCCCAGTGACTTAAGCAAGCCACCATGACTACGAGCTGCCAGAATCCCTTGTTGCTTATCCTTTCTGGTCGACTATCTCTTCTTTCGTATTGAAGGAGGAGGGAACGTAATGATGAAGACTTTTCATTCCAGCTAATTAACTTTTTGATTGGACACTAATAACTAGTGTGACGTGTCTAGTCCTCTCTTTGGTGCA